ACGGTCCCACGGTCTCCCACCCACCAGATACCCCCACGGGCCCCACCCCCAAAAAAACGAACCCGCAGGGGCCGCATATATATATATATATATATATATTTTCCTGTGTTGCTTACCTTCCCCCCAACGCACCTGCATCAACGAAACGCAATTCGGTGGACGCAAGAATTTTCCCGGCCCACCCTGCCAGACCCATGTTTAGGACCCCTCCGTTTTTTATTTTTATGTCAGTCTTTCACTACGAGGGCGTGCGGCGCCCCACCCCCACCCGAAACCCGCTCTCCTCTCCCGAAACCCCCTCCCATTTCGGCCGCGGCCGCGGCCGCGGCCAAAAATTCTCGGTCGGAGCGGCCGCGGCCGGGGGGGTCCCGGCTGCGGCCGACGGCCGCGCCCATGGTGAAACATAGAGTCTATAGAATCTACTGCGATATTATGTGACAGACTCGAGGGGCTTTTGAACTCGGTCTTTAATCATAAACAAGGCTTATTCGGGGTGGATATAGTCGAACCTGTTCAAGAAGTCCCTCTCAAAGGTTGGGAGATCTATCCTGGCGTAAGTGCTAAGCCAGTGATGCAAATCCCCTCCCAGTCTAGCGGGGATGTTAATCCGAGCTTTGTCGTTGTCATATTCTTGTGCACGTAGGGTAACTAACCATACCCCAGCCAGGTGGTGTGCAGGGTCGAAGAGATACAAATCGGGTGGAGCCGTGGGTGTGCAAGCTCGGATGGGTGGTGCGGGAACAGGGGCCCCGCCTAGCTGTACATTGGCATTTTGCGCCTTATCGGCGTTCATATTGGCGGCCGGTCGTCCGACCGATCGGTTTCTAAGTACTATAGGATCGCGTCGCGGCGTGTTCCGCTGTCTGGCCCGCCCTCTCTTCGCCAGAATGTACTGTGCGACTTATCTACCCACTTTTCTTATAAGCTCCCCACGTGTCGGCTCAGATACCAACCTCACGGCCAGCGCGACTTCCTGATCAGAGTGGGATGGGGGCCCGGAAGTGCGAAAAAGGGGTGTGCCAAGGATTTTAGGAAAGTGGGGGTGGAGTCTTAGGTTGGAACCGAGATCTCCTGTGGCAAGTTTCGGGGGTATAGGCGAGAAGAGGGTGTGCACAAAAATGAAGTTGTTGATGTCGTGTAGCATAAGGCAGATGGCATGTGTAGTGCATCTCGGGCTAAAGATTCGGGGCACTTTTCCACGATCACAGTACCGACAGATCTAAACACTCGTGCATTCTCGAGCAAAATCCCAACAGCATTGCCTCCGCCAACGAACTCAATCTTCAAGCTTAAAAGAAATGAGAATCACCATCTCCTCTGGTTTCGCCTTCGTGGCTGGTCACGTGGTTCGACCAATTGTCGGCGCCCCTCGACTTAAGTGCGGGTTCGCCGAGCGAATGCCAAGGCTTGATAAGCCTGGTGCCGCCGACACTTTTCGCACGGGATGTGGGGCCCATAGCGGGCTATGGAATTCCACGGCACCACCGTGAGTTGGTGATATGGAAGAAGGAGGTGGAAGGGATGGAAACTGGTGGTAATAATGATGAAACCGGGGGATATGAAATATTGCGTGTTATAAGTATCCGGGTGATCGGGGCCCCTAGGATCGTTAGTTATGGCACAGTGAAAGTTCCTCGCATACAATCGATCGCTTTCTGTCAGACAGTGAAAGTTCCCCCGTCGTCTGAGTTGTTCACCTTCCCAGTATTCGCGGTATTCCGGGTGCCTCAAACCCTCACGATCGGACATCCAAAAGGAAAATTCTGCAGCCATATCCGTTTAGAAAGCTCGGTGCCCTGCATCCTCGTGCGGAGTTCTTGGCTGGCTCACACAGGCGAGCGCGTACGTAACGACTCGGTTTCCTCCAGGTCGCGGTCCTACGCGATCGTGTACGTGAGAAACAGCGGGTTGGTTCAGCACGTCAATCGCACTCAACATGCATGCAAATATCCTATCCCTGCGGCGTCGAGTGATCAGTACATATCATACATGTGACAAAAAGGAGTTGCACCCAATGTGGGAACATTAGCAGCCATGTCAACTGCTTATAACACTCTTTGAAAGTTAATGACTAAACCAAAACATCCATAATCGAGCGCTTTTAGCAATAGACAGAGTCAGAACGGACATTGAAAAACAAGATTCAAAATCCGAAAAGATCGCTAATAAAATGGAATTCACATTCATTCCATGCATACACACAACATAAAAAGGACAAGTAATATCCGAGAGGATTTACAAAAGAAGTCTGAAAAGAAGGTCGTGATAAAATCAACCATATCCGGATCCAAAATTATAAAGATGATAAAGGAAAAGAAAGGAACAACGAAAAGAACCTTATCTCACACCCACACAACGACTCTCTCTCTCTCTCTCTCTCTCTCTCTCTCTCTCTCTCTCTCTCTCTCTCTCTTTCTCTCTCTCCACGCTCCCGATGCGGGCAGTCCGTTNCTCTCTCTCTCTCTCTCCCCCTCTATCTTTCTTTCTCTCTCTCTCTCTTTCTCTCTCTCCACGCTCCCGATGCGAGTAGTCCGTCGCCTCGCATCAACATAGAGTTGTCACCCCGCTTGGTTCGAGCATGCAAGCCAGGTTCACTCGTGCGCCACAGTCCGTCGTGGCCCCGCACGTCAACCCCGCATACCCGACACCAGCTCGTCGGATCGCCCAACTCTCGTACTCACTCACCTCTCAAACTTGCTCGTTAGTCGACCCTCACTGATCGCGCTAACCTCGAGATTCTTAGAGAGCCAACTAATCGGGCTTGCGAAATTTATAACATGCATGCCTGCGCGAAAGGTACGGGATTAAGCCCAGGTGGACAAAAGGAGAAGAGAGGAAGTGCCTACGTCGGCATGGCCAGGCCGCGGCGTGGGGGTCATATCGACACTCCACGCATCAATCCGATCATTCAGGCGCTCCGACCAATTAGAACAGAGTACGTGAGGCGAGGAAGAAGGAGAAGGCAGGCAAACGCGAGAAAACCAAGAAGGAAGAAAGATACAGTTACAATCGCGCCCGCCAAAAATGACAGTTACGTGTAAAAAGAATGTACAACCCTGATCTTGTCGCGGCAAGGCATGCATAAGCAGGGAGCGCCGCGCAACAAAATTCAGAAGGTGCCTAAATTCTGAGCTTAAGTCCTAATTGCAAAGGAAAATTCCGAATAGAAAAACAATTCCGAGAGCCCGTGGGGGCTCGACATCAGTTGAGAATTCAAAAATGATATTCCTGCGTGATGATCGCGCCAAAATTCCCAGTGTTCACAACAAAACAAGGAAGAAGCTATGCTGCTATGGTAAAGTTATTTCTCGCGCTTGCTAATGCGCGACTATCCAACCGTTGGTACGGGATCTTCCTGACACCGATCCGACATTCCCAGCAGAAATCGGAAAAGAAAGAGAACATCCATGCAATTTGCTCGCCCGACCCATCTTCCCACTGCTCACCCACTCAACCCGTCGTATTTCCTCAAGCAGCTCTGTACAAAAAATTGCGCGATTACAGAAAATAGTTTGTCACAACGATCCCACTATAGACAAAGAGGAGGGAAGGAAGAGGTCTGGGAACTCTAAGAGGGGTCTCAGGGGGACATGCGTCTGAGAGAGTCCAGTCAGGAAAGGAGAGGGTGTAGTCTCTAACCAACGTTTCATGTTCCTCCCCACTCCCATGTCTCTCCCCCATCCCCCCTTTCCATACCACTGTTGCCATTCCTTCAAGTGCAGTTGCATTTGAAGAGTCTGACAACTCTTGAACGACGGTTGAACTTTTTTAG